CCTCCCACATTTTCGATTGCCTTAATATTGTTATTGGACCTAACAAACTCATCCAAAATACTTGTGTTGGTCTTGGTTGAGTATTGACTAACACAAAAAGTGTCTGTCAAAAGGGGTTGAATACAAACACAACAAAATTTTGAAGTTTAATTTTATATATTTAAAAAAGACAAAGAATTACAAACTATTGCGAAAACTGGGAAGGAAATATATAACCTAAATAATCTACCTGATAACAAGTTTGCTCATAAAGAGATTCTAAAAGATTAAAAGAAGATACTCTAAGGGCTTGTTTGTTTTTTAAAATATTCACTTAATTGTCTCTTAACTCTTAATCGGTCAGACATAAGTGATTTCAGACTGTTTGTTTTTTGTTTTAAATTAAAAGATTTTTTACCTCTTATCGTCCTCTTAAAATTAAGTGGGAATCCTATATCTGAAATCAATTTCAGAGCCGCATCCCATCTCCATCTCGCTTCAACTCTCGATTTCTCCATCTCCATCTCGCTCTCAACTCTTGATTTCTCCACCTCCATCTCGCTCTTCCATCTCCATCTCGCTCTCAGCTCTCGATTTGAAGGTCTCGCTCTTAGCTCTCGATGTCAACAGCTCACGATTTTTTGACTGCCCCTCCGTCCAAGCTCTCGATCTCTCGACTGCCTCTCCGTCCAAGCATCTCTCGATCTCTCAAGAAAGGTAATGGGTCTTCTTCTGCCTCTCGATCTTTGAGAACCCACATCTCATCTTCCTTCTCGAGCTCTTATTATATTCAATTTGTTGGTCATAAGTTCAAAATCATGAGTTAATGGTTATGTGTTCAACTCCAATTTTTTTTTACAGGAAGCACTGAATCAAAACATCTCTCGATCTCTTCTTCTGCCTCTCAATCTCAAAAAAGGTATAAAAAAAAGAAATTAGTGGTTCTCTGTTGGGTTATTTTGGTCAGATTTATGGCTTCTGCTACACAATGTGATGCTGGATTTATGGTTCTGTGTTGGAGCTATTTTTCTACTGTTTTTCTTGCTTTTGCTACTGTTTTTTCTTGCTCTTGCTTTTGGTTTTGCTAGTGTCTGTCTAGAATGAATATAATAAGAGCTCTCCATGAAAGCTATGAATGTAATAACAGCATTGTTCATATCAAATTGGATCCTTTCTTCTTGCTCATAGTAGATGGAAAGACATTGCCTGTTTCATATAGAGTTCAGTCATCACAAAAGATTAGTCACTTTGTACATAGGTGGTAGTCTCAATTATATGGACATGTATAAATCATGTATATATGGTGGTAGTTTCAATTGAGAAAGCATATTCTCTTTTTAGGCTTGTTAAAATTGATATTGGGAAGGCCCTTACATGCTCTGCAAGTTTATTATATCGCTGCTACTTGAAATACTTGAAATCTCATGGCTTGTTAAAATCTTGACTTGAAATACTTGAAATCTCATGACTTTGATTTGGCACCCAGTAGTTGCTATACGATATTGGGTATCCTTAAATGTTAAGATAACAATAAGATTTAAACCCAATGCAAAATTGAGCAAAAACTGGAAGAATAGAAGCTTGAATCATCATCCATGGCGATGAGTTGAGAGAAAAATCATTATGTGTTATGATGTTTAGGAGTGGGTTTCTGTTCCTGTGCTAATTAAAACCCTAAGTAGCAGCGGGCTGCATTATATTTAGGCATAGAAAATTTAATTGAAATGAATTGATCCAGATTTCAGACTTCAAAAGTTTGTCAGTTTACAAAAACATACAGTCTTATTGATTCAGATTTCAGATTTCAAACTTCAAACGTAAAAACAAACAATCTGACTGATTAAGATTTCAGATTTCAGGTGTAAAAATAAACAGTCTGATTGATTCAGATTTCAGACTTCAGCACCACTTCTTAAAAATCAGAAGTGAATTCAGACTTCAGACTTCAGCACCTCTTAAAAAACAAACGCCACCTAACATATTTGAAAAGAACTAACATATTCGTTAGAAATTGATGTCGATTTTTTGCCTAAGAACCTATCACTCATAATTTATGTTAAGTGGGTGATTTGCAACAATGACAGATGTTGCCTTTATATTGCCATCAATCCACTAAATTGTTGTGTGCCAACATTAATGCGTGTCTTCATCTGTTCTATTGATTTGTGCATGTTCGTACTCTTCATGTCAGCGTTTGAATATCTTGAAGATATAGTAGACATTTGTTGCCCCATCTCATCCTTGTGTATGTAAAGTGAGGAGTAAAAGAAGCAATTAACTGGTAAAATTATACTTTATAACTTACTTTAGCTGACATGTACAACATGTTCTCGTACTAGGACATGAATTAGTGAGCCAAACCTGGTGGGTAAGTTTGCACTCCAAATCAGCTTATCAAACAACATTGTCAAACTGTCTGACTTATGCACTATTGGTCTTCAATCGACTAGATGATATTTCTTTTCATTTTAGCATCAATATAATTTTACTTCAACTCGTATTCATTCTTCTTGGACTAATACGGATATATGATATATAATATCTCGGTTCCCGAGGTTTGATCATTTTACACAAATCCAGATCCTTTATGAATTATGATCCAATAACATATTTCAGATCGTAGCGCAGTTTCGAATCCTAATGTATTTTGGATCCTTACATACTTTCGAATCTGATACACTCCGGATCTTATCCTTATATAAATACGTATCTGATAAAATATGATCTCGCTAGATAAAAATCTTAAAACTTTTCTAAGCGTTTATTGGATGTATGTGAGTAATCATCAAATCAAATAGTTTTTTTTATCAACCTGGATATCCAACCCGTTATGCGAGCCGACTAATCACAGGGCGACCACCTGCTTTGCAAATAGCCCGGAGTCACCGCATTTGAACCTCCGTGGCCACAAGGGGATTTTTATTCCTCCTTGGATTTGAACTTGGGACCTCCTGGTACTTTTGACCTTTGGAGCCAAACTCAAACCAATCAGACACCACCCTTGTGGTTCAAATCAAATAGTTGAGTCCAACAACTTGTAACAAAACCAAAAATGGGCGGTCACCCTCTATTACATAATCAAAACAAACGAAGACCTCACTCGCTATATCTTCTTTGCACGACTAACACGTGTAAAGGTTGATGCTTTCCTTGTATAAGACGACACTGAAAAAGTCGTGAGATCCTAACACACGCATCCTCTCTTTCACACCATCAAGTAACCCCCCCTCCTAAAACGCCAGTTTCGTGGTCAACCTTGTAACGGCAACCATTAGTACTCTACACTCGTAATTATACATTTGTTGCTCAAAGATGCACAATTACTACCGTATTTAAAATATTCAAGAATTTTCTCCATTCAGACTCTTGTCAAACCTCAAACCTCTATTTTATATCTTCGATAATACCTATGCTGAACCATTCACACTCACCTCAGCTAATTTCATCAATATCTAGGGGCATCGCGATCCTTGAATGGTATGCAGAACATGACAATAAAAACTTGTCGTCCCAATTTTTGGTGCGACATTAGAACAGGATAGGACGGGACAAAGCAGGACAGAAATGCAATTTTCCATGCCACGAGTATAGATAAAACCAAAATCTCGATGGTGTGAGACAAGATTGATAAATTAATAAACTATCAATATCAAATTAAAACCCTAAAACATCCCACAAGTATTTCACCTGCATAACTCACTCTTGACTATCTACCGTCATCCAGTGCAGTCCTAACCAGTCTCAGCCAATGCTTTCATATACTGTAATGTAGCGTACCGACCATATCCAAAAGAATTTTGGTTGTTTTTAGTATCTACTCGTTATTTTACATCGACTTTTTTGACCTTTGGATACGGATAATGAATTCAAAATTGATATACCTTAACTAGTTGTGACTGAATACATTAGTCGTGTATATTTTTTTATAAACGATAATAAATGATATAATTATTTTATATCTCGAATTCAAAATTAATTTCTCTTGCTTATAAACCATTCAAGAAAATGGTAATATCAATGATTAATTTTAATAATTGCTATATCAATAAAACACATTGCATAATAGCGAATTTATGCATAACAACTTAGTAAGCACATATCATTTAAACACACTATGGATTCACATATCATGTGACTCCTACACATATTACATATATTTATGCATCATATATATATATATATATCTTTGATATATTTGTATTTTATATATTTTGTACATCACGTGCCACAACCAACTCTCAAGACTTGTAAATGAAGACACAAACCATGCACGACTCCATTGATAAGCAGATTATGGCACATGAAGGAAAACGATCACATCATCAGGGGGTGCTTTAGATCGATCCCGATGGCATCATCGAAGGTGTGTGCAGCAATTCCGGGATCGCCGATTGCCTGAATCTGGTAGTCCATGGTGGAAGCTGCTTCCACCCACATCTGGGAATCATCAAACTCCGGCAACTTTGTATTCAGATTACTCTTCATCATGTCTTCAAAACCCATACCAACAGTCTTCCTGTAATCAGTGCTCCTGCTTCCATAATTGGTCAGATCATGATGATCATAACCGCTAACAGCCACCGCAATTCCGCCATTAACCACCATCTGCATCTGCTGCACCTGCACCTGCTGCACCTGCAGCAGGTACGCTTGCATTTCCATTTCCTTTTGCTTCTCGATTTCTTGCTTCATTTTGATCTCCAAGAGGAGACGATGGTACCTGGCTCTCGCTGCGGCTGCCGCCATCACAGCTGCAGCCCTCCTGGACGCAATGGGCCGAGGTGGTGGAGCAGCAACCTCATCAGGAAGGTTGAGTTCAGCATTTGGACCATACAGCTTGCGAGCGGCAGCATCGTAAGCCAAGGCGGCTTCCCGGGCGGTGTTGAACGTCCCTAACCAGAGACGTTCTCCGTGTTTGGGCTCACGGATTTCGGACACCCACCTTCCCCAGGTCCGCTGACGGACACCTTTGAAGGTGCAAGCAGCATTCAAAGGACCTCCTTTGCCTTTCATATGACCTTTCCTCGAGCTTGCACGGGCTGCAGGCGGCTTCCTCGCTTCCCTCCTCCTTGCACCACCATCGCCATCCTTGTTTCCGACAACCAGCACATAACTCATCTTTGTTTTTATCTCAAGTCACCTTATCTCCTAAAGTGGAGTGTGTGAAGAAATGGAGGAGGAAAGGGGTGAATTTATAGGATGGGAGGAGGGATATTTAGGTCATTTTGATACATAAATTAATCGATAAGGAGAACAAAATATAAAACTTCTTACCATATATCATGGACAGACTCAGAAATTTTTTCAAACGGTGACACCATTTGATCAAAGAAAAAAATATAGGGAAAAATTTTCAAAAGGTGACACCGTTTGATTAAAAAAATGACACTAACAAGATTCAACTTGGGTCTGGGGGGAAATAAAAGCCTTGCAAACCAACTCTACCAAATAAAACTTGTTCTCATTGTAGTTTCAAAATACATAGTGTGACACACAACAAATTAATACGGTTGCACCATTCACGAAACCTATTTTTTTCACCCTTCAGCGAAGAAATAATACGATGACACGTGCCACCTATACCACATAGCTGTGTCCGTCCATGCTATATATTATATTACAAAATTTTAAGAAAAACGATAATGCCTTAAAAAAGCAAAGTAAAATGTGAAATCACTTTAAACGTAATCATTCGATTGACGTTTTTCTAAATTCGGAATTGAAAATCTAATATTAATGTTAACTAATCAAATTAAGAATCTCCATAAAAAAAACGAACGTTTTTTAGAAAAACTCTAAATAATTTATAGAAACTCCTTATAATAAAGGTAATCTATAAGAGCCTTCAACGTGTAGCTCAGTTTGTAAACAATAGGCTAATTTTGTTTAAATACAAGAGAGGTTTTAGGTTCGATTCCAATCCTTTTTACCAGCCTCAGTTGTTAAGCAAACCAAAAAATATATGATTCATTTTGATATTCTTAGAAACGGGTTTCATATAAAATCGATTGAGGTCGTTGGTAGTCAAGGTTTTGTTAAAAATATTAAAAGTTGAGTGGGTGACGTGGCAGTGTAGAAGAAGAGGGAGAGGGCAATGCACACGTGGCGGAGGTCTATGAATCTTTCTAGTTTCAGAATTATATATTTTAATGTTCGCTAACGAACTTTAAGGTGTAAACAAAATAGTTTTCTGGGCCACCCCTTTATTTTGGCGGCTTTTTGTGTGACACTCACATGATATAACAATTCTGATTGGCTGAAAGTCATTTTTTTATTTTGAATGCAAAGTCAACTTAGTTTATATAATTAATTCTAACAAATTTTCTAAACAACAAGATTAAAATGCGTTTAAGAAGCAAAAAATCTAGAAAAAACTAAAAGGTCGTTTATCAAACACTTATTCAGTAAGCATTTATCGGTAAAATTCAATATTATTATTTTACTTATCGGTAAGATTTTAGTCAACAAAAACGGCTTTCTATGGAACAATTACTTGGTAAGAGTTGACCGTGGTAAGAGTCGACCGTGGTAAAAGTCATTGTCCTCACTTACCGGGTAAAACTCTCAGTCATTGTCTCTTTCTTACCGAGAAAGATTTTTGGTTATTATTATATGCATCCGGTAAAGTAATATAACTTGGTAAGCACTTACTCAAGTAAGTATTTACCAAACGGCCCCTAAATCAGCTTCTTTATTTAAAAAAAATACAATATTAATTATATCATTAAACTAATTCATATATTTTGTAAAATGGTATTAGTTTATAAGTTAATTGTTAATTAACAAATTAGTTATATTTATAGAATTTAATAATCTACTTGATAAATATTGAATAATATAAAATGATATGTTAAAGAAATGCTGAATTATAACATTAAATAATATAGTTAAAACATACTATTAGTATATTTCATTATATTAAAAGAAGTAATAAATAAAAGGTTTTTCCGGTTATTTAGGTCTAACACACAACATATATATATATATATATATATATATATATATAGGATTGGGTTCATATGAAATCAATGGTTTTACGTGAGACCCGTGAGATCAATTTATGTTCATTGATCAACTTTATAAGTTAATGATATAATAGTCTAAAATTGCACGGTGGCAATTTTGTAATTATTAAGAAATCTCGTGGCAATTTTGTGATTATGAATGTTGGGATTGTAGATCTAATCAAATGGTTGAGAATTGGTCTTATGGGTCTCACGAAAAAGTCTTGGTCTCATATGATCCCAAGTATATATATAGGGTTGGGTACGTGAGACCAAGGGTTTTTTGTGAGATCCGTAAGACCAATTTATGTTCATTGATCAACTTTATAAACATATGATCTAATGGTCTAAAGTTGCATGGTGGCAATTTTGTAATTATTGAGAAGTTTCGTGGCGTTTATGAATGTTCAGATATGACGATTGTAGGGATTGAGAATTAGTCTTACGGGTCTCACGAAAAACTATTGGTCTCACATGATCCCAAGTATATATATATATATATATATATATATATATATATATTTCATTATATTAAAACAAGTAGTAACAAAACAATTATAGTTGGGCATATGGGCGGACCTTAGTAAACATAACATGATTTGTTTAAAAGTAAAAGAATAAAACCTAACATCTTAGGTTAACTGTACTAGCTATTGTCTGTTAGACCCGCGGTTTTAAAATGTGTCTGATAGAGGAGGTGTTCAGTATCTTAAAAGACAACATTTATTCCTCTCCTCAATCATTGTGGGATCTAATAATGCAGCCCTTTGGGAGCCCAACATCCTCGCTGGCACACTAGTCTGATTCCCGACTCTCATACTCTTTGTAAAACCTACAAAACACAAAGCAATAGGCTACCACAATAACTTCTAATCCAACTTAAAACCATAGTGGAAGTTATTAGTTACACACAACTTGAGGCTTTTAAGTAGCTCACAAATCTCATTTTAGATCCATTTGAGAGAATTTTTTACAAACTCCACCACTTAAACTCCTAACATCCTCATCAATTCTGCCCAGAATCTTTCTCCTTGTAATCAACGATGTGGGATTGCCTAAGATGTTACAAACACCCTCCTCAAGAACTCATCATACCAGATGAGGTTTTCCCCCACCATCCAGATGGTAGAAGGGTCGACTTTGATACCATCTGTAATATCCATGCTAATCGTATTAGATGTTGTCCGCTTTGTCCAGACGATGACCTACGGTTTTAAAACGCTTCTAATAAAGGAGGTGTCCAGAACCTTAGGACAACCTTTGTTCCCTTCCCCAAACCGATGTGGGATCTTATATTTATATTGTATTTGAACATATTTATCAATTCGTTTTGAGTTAGTTTCATAAATTTCAAATCTATTAATAAGGTGTATGTATGTAAAAATATTGTATGAATATACTTATATGTGAATATACTCGTGACTGAAATTTAGAAAAACGGGTTAAAAATATCAAATTAAAGAGAATAAAATATCATCTTCTTATATAATTTGTTTAATTCAAAAATAATTATATTTAAGATAATTTAGATATTTTTTAAATTGAGACAAATATGCGGGTTTCCAAAATTTGATATGTTAACATGGGAAGGGTAAGACTTTCATTTATTGTATATAAAAAGGGGTAAATAGAAATATTAGTAATTTAAAAGATTTTGTATTTATTATTGATTTGTAAATAATGTTTTAACAATTTTATTCTTGAAAAAATAATAGATAAAACCAAAATATTTTACAATGTAGTATAGGTAGGAAATTCATTTAATTCATAAATTAATATAAGATTTAATTATTAGTTAGAATTATGTTAAAATATTGATAAAAGTAGAAATATGGTAAATCAAAATAAATATCATTCCTATTAGATAGGCCGGTTCTTGGATGACAGTCCAACATTCAATAAAACCGAATTGATCTAATTCAATTATCATTCAGCTACCATACAATTACTAACTATACATAATATCAACATTTTAAGAAAAAAAAATTATTTGATATTTATATGCAGTGTTTTTTTAATAATAATTTAAACCAATAGTAATATCTAATAGATGGAACCGATATGATCCAATCATCTATATTAGATTGAATCAAATCAATTGTCAAATGTTAGTTAGTTGGATTGGATGACATGCCAACATCCAATGGATGATTTGATCGGATCCACCCAGATCAATTGGAATTTCAACTGATGAGCACCCGTAAATAGCTGTAATAATAATTATATATTATATAATATAAAAAAATTATTTTTTTTTTTCTCAAAATCATGAAGGAAAGTGATACTTGAGGGCAAAGTTTTGGTCTAAATCTTACTACACACCAAATTGGGAATTGAATGATATTAGATTGGGAGGTTGGGTGACCATTTTTTTGTCTGCTTGTAATAAAATTCAATGACCTTCAATATCATTTTTTTTAAATGATAATTGAAGAAATTTTAAAAACTTATTAAATATTGTTTATAACAATGTCCTACAAAATTGCTAATGAAACGTTTTGTATTAAAAATGTCCTAAAAACTTGTTAAGACACTCAAAAATGTCATATAAACTTATTACAACACCTTTAGATAATACGTTTTATTTTTTGGTCCGATAAATTAAGTGTTATATAGAGGTCTATTAGGACGCTTAATTTTTTTTTGGAATCCTATAAACCCGATTTTATTGTAATGAATCCTACTAATACGACAAGATGCTTTATTATAATATTTAAAAAACAATTCTAACAAAAAGTGAAATAATTTATGTTTTTATTTTTAAATGTTAAATATTTCAGTTATATATAATAAAATATTGTATTAAACATCTTACACTGAAAACCCGATAATTTTATAATCTTTACTTTCTAAAAATATATGTATATCTGTATTTTCTTATTAGATGTTCAATTAACAAGACTCGATCATATTTTTTAATTTATAATTTATTCAAACATAAATTTTGAATTTCTTTTAATAAAAAATTATATTACTTTACATTTTTCATATTTGCACTATTTTGATATGATAATATTCGGTACCACTATATTTTTTGGTTAACAAATTTAATGTGAAAAATAAACTTTAAAAATCGTAAAAATTGATGTCCATAGGCAAGTCCAATTAGGAGTT